CCGCTGCCAACAACGCCACCACCTTCAAATCCTCCCAGCTCGCCGCCGCCGTCTCCACCCCCACCCTCACCACCGCCACCATCTCCACCGCCTCCTTCCTTGCCACCTCCTTCATCTTCGCCACCCTTGCCGCCGCCACTCTCGCCACCACCGCCCTCACCACCACCACCATCTCCACCTCCGCCACCGCCTTGCGAAGCGTCATGTGATGCACACGACGCATACTGTGATGGGACTCGAATAATTGGATACGACGGCTTTGAATTGATTACCCTTAACGACAGCGACGCCGTTGTCGATAGCACCTGCTGCAACATTAGCTCCGCCGACCCCTCAACGTGCGGCTACGAGGTCACCGGATCAAGAGACGAGATATGCGTATTCTTCTATGGATACAACTGCAGTCTTTTGACAAGCCGCCGCGCCCTGAGCGAAGCAACGGTGTGCACAGGCGAGGCATGCCTGCCTGAATCTGTGAGTGAAACCCATTTCAAGATGGAGCGAGTGATGGTCACGCCTCCCCCCTCACTGCCGCCACCATCGCCGCCGCTACCGTCGCCTCCACCGCCCTCTCCGCCAACACCATTGCCCCCGCCCCCATCACCACCACCTCCCTCACCGCCGCCTCCGCCGCCACCCTCGCCGCCACCGCCATCTCCGCCGCCGCCCTCGCCGCCTCCACCCTCGCCGCCTCCACCCTCGCCGCCACCGCCACCTCCTTTGTCACCACCACCCTCGCCGCCCTCGCCACTGCCGCCCCCGCCGCCACCACCTTCACCATCGCAACCGTTGCCATCGCCGCCGCCGCCCTCACTACCGCAGCCCTTACCGCCGTCGTCCTCGCCGCCTCCGCCCTTGCCTCCGCCGCCCTCGCCGCCCCCACCCTCACCACCACCGCCCTTGTCACCGCAACCGTCCCTACCACCATCGCCGCCCCCACCATCGCCCCCGCCCCCGTCACCGACGCCTCCCTCCCCTCCGCCGCCCTCGCCGCTTCCATCGCCCTTGCCACCTTTGCCGCCGCCACCATCTCCGCCGCCACCATCTCTGCCACCGCCCTCGCCACCACCACCATCGCCATCGTCTCCCTCTTCTCCACTTCCCTCACCCCCGCCTCCATCACCGCCACCTCCATCGCCGCCACCGCCCTCGCCGCCACCGCCCTCGCCGCCGCCTCCCTCGCCGCCGCCTCCCTCGCCGCCGCCGCCCTCGCCGCCGCCGCCCTCGCCGCCACCTCCCTCGCCGCCACCTCCCTCGCCCCCGCCGCCCTCGCCCCCACCTCCCTCGCCGCCGCCTCCCTCGCCGCCGCCGCCCTCGTCTCCACCTCCCTCGCCGCCTCCGCCTTCGCCCCCACCTCCCTCGCCCCCGCCGCCATCACCGCCGCCGCCATCGACACGGCCGCCTTCAACGCCGCCTCCCTCTCTTCCGCCTCCCTCGGCGCCGCCCC